CGAGATCTAGGCCTCGAGTAGCTCCCGGTCTGTCTTCCTGGCAGGCCGGTATAATCCCCCGCAGCAGCCGCGGTTTGACCAGTTGGCTGAGTTAATTTACCACCCCTTCGCAAGAGTCAATGTTGTATCCAGCTGGTCAATGCTTGAAATTCTCCACGCCCTCCTCGCAAGTGCTTCCACATTTGGCCCCCTGTTGACATTCCCATTCCCCCTTTTTGTAACCCTCTTTCCAACGTGATAGGCGTTCTTTTAATAAACTAGTTTTTATATTCTGTCCTTGAGCTGGGAATTCGATTTGTTCGAACAGTAACAAAGAAATTGTTTGTCTAGGGTATCCATTGTTGGGGCTTGTACGTTTTTTTATTATTACCTTATTCTACCAATAGTATCGTATATACACCGAAATCTGTTTTGGCTTATACGCGTGACTCAATTTACCAAGAATTCTACAGTCAACTTGCAAACAGGTTTTTCAAGGGTAATTGTATGGAAGGTGCGGAATCTAACGGACGACGCTGGATGGCATAGTCACGTTCATTCGGCCTTCAATTTATGTGACCCATTATCATTACGGACACCAAGGCCGACAACTAGGCGCTGCTCTCCTCTGTCTACCCATCCACGAAATATACCATAATGGCCTTCTAATTTCAGTTCTCCATGATAGACTACACATTCCTCCACGTTAATGGAAGCGACTCGTATTTCCTCCTCCCTACTGATGCATGTCTCAACTAACCTAGTGTCCCACTGAGTGATGGCCGTGACAGTTTAGGGTTGGCGTCGTTTCGTTTATCTCCACTTGATTATGTAATCTTTTCCTAGAGTGGACACAGAGGCAAGATAACCACCGTCCGTCTGTTAGGAGATAATGGATCTAAAAAGGTCATAGCCAGTAAGATCTCTCGCAACCAGCGCGATTTGTTGTCAGATGTGGTCATGTAGCCCCACCTGAAGTAAAAAAAACCCCAGTCACCTGTACTACGGGACCGGTGTTAATAGCTGTTTTTAAAGGTGGGGCCGGTGGAACGCACAGGCAACGAGGTCAAGTAGTTGTGTGAACAAGAAAAGAAATTGGGACTACGCGGTTCTATCCTGAGTGGTTGAGAAATAGTTGCCCTAACCCCCAATCCTAACCCTAACCCCTAACAGTATTGTGTCCGTCAGGTGAGGCTACAGTGGGTGACCGATCTCATGAAATGTTGGCCAAAATTCTGCAATGCGTTTCCGATTAGGAAGGATTACTTAAGTGCGGTTGTTAGGCTGATTATCATGCAGCATAACCCTATGACATTTCGGACTCACCAGAACGTCGGCTTTTGAATGCACTTCTTTTTAATCTCCTGCAGAAACCACACCCGACAAAAATTGACTACTTATGTAGCATGCGTTTTTCCTATTGATTTTCAATGTTCTTACAACATAAAAAATATCCTTTATTTTGCCCAGTTGGTAGGAAATCACATTGTCTTCATATTTTATACCCGGAGAAAATGTATATTTAGGTTTTAAAAAAGTTTCTCATCATGAGATTTTAAAGACCGTGCGATGTCCATGCATGCAAGACCGCACATGTCCGTTTACCAATGCTCCTCATGAAATGTACAGCACAGTCCGGATCCATTGCGAAATTTTATGAACTCTAAAGGGTATATTCTTAAAGGCATAGAGGGATATATGATTTTCCTTATGCGGAAAGCATGCACCTTGTAGACTGAAATGGCTAAACGCTGATACAATGGCAGATCAGGCTCAAAATTATTTGGTGATTGGGAAACTTTTTTAAAACCAAAATTTACACTTTCTTCAAGCATAAAATATAAAGACAATGTGATTTCCTACCAAGTGAGCAAAATAAAAGATATTTTGTGCATGTTCTCTATGAAATATATTCAAATTTATAAGACTATTGAAAATCAATAGGATAAATGCATGCTACTTAAGTAGTACTTTTTTGTCGATTGTGGTTTCTGCAGGAGATCATATAGGAATGCATTCAAAAGCCGACGTTCTGGTGAGTACGAAATGTTATAGGGTTATGCTGCATGATAATCAGTCTAACAACTCCACATAAGTAATCCTCCCTAATCAGAAACGCATTGCAGAATTTTGGCCAACATTTCATGAGATAGGTCACGCACTGTACATAGCCACATCTTACCAAACTTCCTACGAGTGACAACCTTTACAGCAAATTCTCAGTCAGTCGATTACAATTCTGTTAGCGCTGATTCACATACAGCGCAGGAACGGACTGTCAGCATGAATTTGGGTCGGTGTATATGAGTAAACTTCTGTTAGGGTGAAGTTGCCGAATCGCAAGCGAACGAGGATCGATGACAACTTTACAACAATCTTTGAAAGACCAGGTCCATGCCTTGACGAGGGCTAGGGAAGTTTCACAAAGTTCTTTTGACTTTTTATATGTTGCTGCCGGAAAATACATGCATGGGAAGGCTTTTTTATGGGTTCCCTTCCCTAGGCGTTATCGCATGCCATCGGAGCTCTCATCAGAGCAGCTGAGCACACTCATGGCACTAAAAACGTTTGACACCTTAAGCACTACAATGGGTTCGTCAGGCTGATTTTTCCAGGCCAGGAGGTCTGGAGGGAACCGGAAGACGTGTCTGATGAAATTGGCAAAGTGAAGCGGACGAAATGTGATTTCCAAGCTGGGTATTGGACTGTTTCCAAGCCCATACGCTGAGCATAGCAGCGGAATATGGGACTGCTGCTTGCGAGTACTTCATGGAATCCAAGCAAGCATTGTCATGTTCAAACCCACTTGGTGCCATTTGTTTAGGCAAACTGCATTCGTACGCCATGCTCCTCTGAGGGGCTTTTTCAGTCTAACAAATAATCGACTGGGTCGGAACAGACGATTCAGAATTTCGTCGGGACGCGACCCTTTGACTAAGCTTCCTTCCAGTCGCCTGTAAAAACTGCATTCGGTAAAGTAACTACCTAGGTAATATGAATATTCTCTCTTGATTTTCGAGGCCTCTATAGATTTAAACATATTTCATAGAGAATATGCGCTAAAATATCTCTTCTGGTACACACCCGCTAGCAGATTACGTCCTCAAATTTTGTACTTGAGGGAAGGGTATCTTTCGGTTTTAAAAAACTCTAAATTCTTGAATAATTTTGGACCCAGCTTCCCGTTACACTTGCATGTAGAGCTTCCTGACTGCAAACTGCATGCTTTCCGTGTAGGAAAGACTATACGTTTTTATATATCACTAAGAAGGTATCATACAGGGCTCATGAAAGTTTGTAATGAATGGGAAACATAATGCATACTTCATAAACAGCGTTAGTAAATAGAAAGTGATAGGAGGACGCCCACCGATAGATCTTACGGAACTCACTGGCCCCGTTGTGCCTTGGGGTCCTCTCTCTCGAGCCCCGCTAGTAGCCGCACAGCGGCGTGTGATATAGGCAGAAAAGAAACTCCCTACTACCAAAGTAATCACTTTTTAACCGATTGTAGTTTCTTCGGCGGTCGGAAGGTAGCTCATTCAGGAGCCGACGCACTGGCCTGAATGAAATATCTAGGGCCTAGGTTGCATGATAATCAGCATGACAACCCCGCCTAAATAATATTTTCTGATCGGAAGCACATTTCAGAATCACGGTTAAACCTTTAATGAGATAGCCTGGCGTATTGAATGTAAACCGTCGGACACTCCCCCCCCCCCAATACCATATAAATTTTCTCCTTCTGATTTCGCTTTTTCTGACTTCACCCATGCCCCAATTCCCGGCCCTGAAGCCTGTTCAACCGGTCGTCAAGAGGTTGAGTCAATCATCGTACCACTTTAGCTAGGAGTCCACACCCTGTAGGCTGCAATCGGCAACATTCAAAGTCAGGTGCAAATGGTCGTTCGCGGAGCTGATTGCAGGAAGGAACATGTTCGTTCCTTCTGCGGTGACCGCGAAAATTGTATGTGAAAAGCCGGCGCGTGTATGTGATGGCCACATTGCACGTTTGCATTGTGCCCTCCAAACGGGCCACGTGGTAGACGCGCTAGACCAACACGGGGGCCATATCGGATTCTGGCAGGCATTATCGAATTCTTGCACCATGACAAGTGCCAACATTCCGAGGGTTCGGTGGCAGACCCTGTTGCCGACGTACGTCGCGCACATTGGGTCCCTGTCATTCCTCCCATTTTTGTTGTTGGATAAAATCCTGGTCATTTGCTGTGTGAACCAGAGGGTGTGGAGTGGAGCGCCAAGGTGCGGGCTCGGTCGTACCATCCACCTGCGCCCTCCCCCGTCTCCGCTCTTCTTGACTATGCCTTGATGCAAGGTCCAGGTGAGGAAGAGGAGAGAGTACGCTTGATGCCACTCAAGTCTGCATTCACTTTAAACAAAATCACGCGCAAGTCACCGTGTCTGCTCTCACCTCGCTGTGGAGCACACGGTGGACATTGCCAGCAAAGACGGTCGAACTGTCGCTGTTCGTATTAGCGACAAACATCTGAATCTCAGGCAGTTTTGACGGGTAGGCTGAGATCTGTCACACACAGACACAGGAAGCACACCTCGTTTGCCTGAGTTTTTGGACTTGTTCGGCGCAGAGAACAGCGAATGAACGGTAGTGTTTGTGTCTAACCCTCGACAAGGGACGTCCTTGTCCGGAAACAAGGTCACATTGTCTGGCAGGCGCGCTGGCAGTACACAATCGGCCCGGCAACCGTCTATCCGAAAAAGGAGAGACCTCAACTTCGCCTTCACACGAGCATCCAAATGTCGAACTTAAAACTGAGGTGCATAGACAGATGCCTCACCAGCGCATACCTCCCTATATTAAAGCGGAGGCGCTTAATTCTATCACAAGGCGCTAACAGTTGCGGCTTGGAAGATTGACAGGCAGAGTACTACTTAAAATCTCAACCACCAACCGAAATGCGATTCCAGAGAGGTCGACTTCTGTCTGCCTGCCGTGCGTTGCGATCTAGCTGCTAGACTGTTTGACTCCCTGTCTTGCCTACCTAGCCCCGATTGTCTCCGCGGATGAGCTTTTGCAGGCGTTTGAAGTACCGAAGAAATAAAACGACGACTGCACTAAGCGATTCTATGCTTCCCTCCTCCTCCTCCTCCTCCTCCTCCTCCTCCTCCTCCTCCTCCTCCTTTTCCTCTCCCTCCTGCACTTCCTCCCCCTTCTCATTTCCCCTCTTCTTCTTCTTTTTCGTTAATAACAATAATGATAATAATCATCGTCGCCATCCTCACCATCTTCAACATCGGCAGTAGCATATTCTTCTTTTCCACATTGCACTAGGACTTACTAAAGCCTTTTCCGGGGACACACCATTATCACGTTTGTTCTCTAGAGTCCAGTCACTATTCGTTGTCCTTCTTTGTAGTCGGTGTCCTCGGGTAGCCTACTCAAGTCCTTACAGAGCTCTCGTAAACAAAGTTCCCCTCAAACTGGGTGTGAATGCAACTGTCAGTCCGACTTACACGTATGTGAAAAGGACTCCTGGAGGATACGGCTGTGTGTTGGAGTTTTCGCTCCGCACACCATATTCAGAGTTACGTCAGTTCATGCCAACCGCTGGTTCCAAGTGGAAAGAAAGTGGGCCAGCTAACCAGGTGGGTGGCAAGCGCACAGTTTTTAAAGGTAGAGCGACCTGGCTGGACTTCTGGGAAACCGGGATTGACGACGAATTGGTGCGATGGGAGAAAAAGATAAACTGTGAGAAACCGGGCAGTGTTAGCAGACTTAGGGGGCGATGACGCTTCGAAAAAAGACTGTTTAAATGCGTCTCTTTGGGTGTATCAACAGCAACAGTAACGCGCATTTTCGCTTAAATTAACTATACATATATATGACAGATGGGCGCTCACAGATGAAGTTACGGAACGTGCTCGTTTCGTTGTGCCTTGGGGATTATACTAGAACTCTGGCAGGCAGCCGCACAACGACTAGTAGTAGGTGCAAATGAGATGGTACCGACAACGGCAATGGAGACCGGAATGGCCATTTCTGGTTTATTAGCCACATCGGTGAGCGCCCATCCGTCATAACTGATATTCCCGATCACAACCAACAGGACATCGAGCCAGTTGCTAAATAGTAGTCTAAAACTCCATGACCAAAGATCCTGGGTTCGAATCTCCGGTGATCCACACTTGGGGTTGGTTATGACTGGCTGATGACGGCTAATAAGCCAGAAATGACCATTCCGGTCTCCCTTATCTCTGTCGGCACCATCTCATATGCATATAATTCAGTATATATGAGGGATATAGGCAGAGCCTCGAAAAACCCTATTTACAGATAGACGTATGAAAAAAAAACAAGCAGATATTTGCATAACAGTTATGCCAGTCATTGATATCGCGTAAATTTTTGACCATCAAGCACAAATTCATCTCGTCTTCATTCGAAGGTCTCAACGTTTTCCGCTAAGACAACAGAGTTCGGCAATTCGTTCCGTCCTTCAACCAGCCGGTGAGAGAGAAATTTGGCCCGCAATTCAAGTTTGGCATATTTCGTCTTCAATTTGTATTGGTGCTCTCGAAGATTTGTCGTCAGTTCGAAGAAATTGTCAAACTGAAGAGCACATTCTAGCCCTCTGATGATCCTGAAGACCATCATCACATCCCCTCTGCATTGTCTATAAGAGAGAGAAAATATTTTTAGCTTTTTCAGGCGTCTCCCATAAGGTAAGCAACTTAATCCACTGACCAGCTTGGTTGCTCTTCGTTGTACGTTCTCCAGCAGGGTGTAGCCTTGTTTCGTCCAGGGACACCATGCCTGAACACAATATTCCAACATTGGTCGAACGAATGCTCCAAATACTCGGCCGAAAGGTTCTTCGTCAAAAGTGAGGAAGAACCTTCTAATCGCGCCTAGGATACCCATAGCTCTCTTTGATACCTTGGCGCAGTGAGACGAGGGTTTGAGAGTTGACGTCATTCACACACCGAGGTCTCTTAGTTCGTTGACTGATTCGAGTTGGTGACCTCCTAAAAAGTGCTGAGATTCAAATCTCAACGGCCTCCTGCTGCTCAGTCGTAATCGGATAGGTTGGCATTTGTTAAGGTTAAGGTTAAGATACCACTCATCACACCATTGTCGCAGGCGATTCCGATTTTGTTGTAACCGTAGAGAGTCCTCCGGCTTCTCTATTGATTTCCACAATTTGAGCTCACCGGCAAACATCACGCGCCCGCATTTCAGACAGTCCAGGCAGTCGTTTACGTATATTAAGAGCAGGATTGGACCCAGAACGCTCCCCTGCGGAACGCCACTGTGGACTGCGGTAATACTTGGGAAAAGGATTCCCAGGCTTGGGCTATGGTTTGAATTTGGGATGGAGGCTAGGGTTAGGGTTTTAGGGCTCGGCTTATGATTGCGGTTACGTCCGACTTTTCCTTAAACGCTTACAGGTTAGAGACTTTCCACTGAAGGCATGACCATGGTTGGCGTTAGGTTTGTAGTTAATTACGGTCTCCCTAAGGTGGTCGCATACCATACCCTTTCCGAAGCATGTTTTATACTGGAAACAAGTGTGCTGTTTGGATTTGCCCCGCTGGCAGGGGCGCAGTGAAGGGCGTTTTTGAGCAGGCAGGTGAAGCATTACAATACTTTTTTGCCGGAGGAGAATAATAAAGTGAATTTATGCACAGAGGGGGTGTTGGTAGAGATGCGAACAGACTGATACAGCACTACTCCAGACGTACTTTGGCTTCATGCAGCCAACTCATGTGCGTTTACGCACAAGGGGTGTGTGTGTGTGAAAAGGAGCTGGCCGCGACCACCCTAACTAGAAGTGCAGGACGTGAATGTCAGGCGGTCAGTGCCTGGAGGTGAACCTTGAGCTTTTTAGTCGTCTTCAGCTGATGGCGGTACCCACATCAGTTGACAAGGTCACAGAGTGCATACCTGACTGCAAGCGAATTATGCGGGGTTTTTTGCTTGACCAATCCGATGAGAGTCTTAAACTAATAGCGCAGGCCTGAGAAGACGGCCCCTGTGTAAATTTCGCAGCACTGTGCGGGCAGTTGCCGAAATAGCACCGCGAGGACCTCAGTCCCACTTCAAGCAGCCAGCTATAGAAGACGCGTCAACATTTATCCACGTCCTGCCTGACAAACAAATTTCACAGGAGAGATTACCTTTCAACCCCATCTGACTAGCTCATAAGGTTGGCCACTCTGGCGTACGCGTACGCACCGTGCAAGTTGGTGCATTTACATGCAAGCAAGAGAAGAGCCATGTCGATCTGATGAGCCCTGCTAAGGTGACCTCTCGCTCTGTTTCTGTGTGGAGGAACACTGCCTATATGACACAACGCATTGTTATTCTTGGAAGCCAGACAGTTGGCTGTGGACTGCCTCAAATGGTGCTTACCTCTCCCCAAACAGTGTGCCCCAAAGATCTTTTTGTCGTTTCAAATCATAAAAAAGAAAACAGATGTAAGGGTTGCTGACATACGCTGAACGAAACTTGAAATGATGGAGGGACGCTCATCGATCTCACTACTGTGCCTTGGGGCTCTCTCTCAAGCCCAACCAGCAGTCGCATAGGGACACGTAATATAGACGGAATGACATTACCGACAAAGACAGGGGGACTGGGACAGACATTTCTGGTTTGTTAGCCGTCATCAGCCAGTCATACCCGACCCAGAGGTGTGAAACACCTGATGCTCGACCCCGCGACCTGTTGGTTAGAAGTCCAACGCTCGTATGTACAGTGATAGAGGGGTGTTTAGTGGTTGTCATTGGACTTCGAACCATCAGGTCGTGGGATCGAGCCCCAGGTCTTCCACACTTCGCGGTTGGGTGTGACTGGCTGACGATGGCTATTAAGCCAGAAATGCCCATTCCAGTCCCTCTTTTCTTTGTCGGTAATACCATGTTCCGACACCTAAAAACCAATTAGATGAAGATTCTTTTATAGTTGTGTTTATATTTTCCTGAAACAGGTCTTCTTACCGCCGGACTTGTAACTCCGTCGAAAAAAAGGGAACTGTGTGCAATGGGCGACGAAACTAAAACGCATATGAGCACTTGAAGGAAAACAAACTTTGTGCCCTTTAGGTGGGAGACCACGCACAGAAATTCAACAGACAGTCGGATGAAATAGCTTAAGGAGATCACCTCACGCAAGGCGAACTTACTTTCAAGGTGGCGTTGGATTAACGAGTAAGCTGCGGCCGACACCGGGGGGAGTATTCTTACTGAGTCTACCGTTATTACACCACCTTTGGCGACGCAACCCGATGCAGCATCTTGACTTCCTCTTTCATCTACCCCCAGAGCCAACGAGTGGAAAGAATCGGTCCAAAGGTCAATGCAACCAGTCAACCCGTCTACTTCAGCGTCCCTGTCGTACTTTTTATGTCAGCGAGAATCTAACAGACGTCTCTCAGTCAATATTGGCGGGCAGCCCAAGGTCATTCCTTCAACAGGAATCAGTTGTCATCGCTCAAACTCTGGCTTACTTCTTTAGGCCGTAGATACAGTAGATGTGCTAACTCATGAAATGTCAACCAAAATTTCGAAATGCGTTCTCGTTTCGAAAAGAAAAATTAAGTAGTGTTGTAAAACTAATCATGATGCAGCAGAAATCTATAATGATCCAGTTACCTCAGGGTGTCGGCTTTCGAAAGAACTTATTTTCGGCTGCATGCAAGAACTATGCTCTGCAAAAAATGACCGCTTATATAGTATGCAATTTTCTCATTGATTTTCGATGCCCTCGAAAATTCAATTATATTTCATGCAAAACATGCATAAAACTATTCATTCTTTTACTTATTTGGTAGAAAATCACGTCTTCTTCCAATTTCATACTCAAAAGAAAATATAATTCGGTTTGAAAAAAGTTTCTAATTGGGAGATTCTTTAATACCGTCAAATGGCCGTTCATGAGACGTCATCTATCTGCATTTACGAATGTGGCTTGTAAAGTTAACAATACTGCTCAAATCCACTGCTTAATTTCATGAACCTCATATGGTCTCCTCTTAACACCGTAAAGAAATGCATTGTTTTCCGTACACGGAAAATATACAGCTTGTAGTTTTGAAACCCTGAATGCAAGTTTAATGGCAGGTCGGGTTCAAAATTATTGGGGAATTAGAAGAGTTTTTAAAAAACCAAATTATTCTCTTCTTTTGAGTATGAAATTGGAAGAAGACGTGATTTTCTACCGAATAAGTAAAAGAATGAATATTTTTATGGGTGCTTTCCATGAAATATAATTGAATTTTCAAGGGCATCGAAAATCAATGAGAAAAGTGCATGCTACATAAGTAGTCATTTTTTGCAGAGTATAAATCTGGCATGCGGCCGAAAATAAGTTCTTTCAAAAGCCGACACCCTGCGGTAACTGGATCATTATATATTTATGCTGCATCATGATTAGTTTTACAACACTGCTTAATTTATCTTTTCGAAACGAGAAGGCATTTCGAAATTTTGGTTGACATTTCATGAGTTAGCACATCTACTGTATATCTCCTCCGATTCCGTCTCCCTTTCCATGGAGATTGACCTCTGTGTCTTTATCGTCGTTGACTTCTCCTCTGTTATCCTCAGTGTATATTTTCTTGCCGCCGCCGTTCAGGCTATCCCTACTTCTAAGGCATCCACCAACTTGTGTTTCTGAACCTTGATCCAGTTTCCTCATTTTTGGGATTTTTGTAAAATACTGCGACCTCATCCGTCCGTCCAACGCCACTCTTGTCCTTTGTCTCGCAATGTCCTCTGCCCATGACCACAACCCCACCTCAAGTTTTTAACGTTTGAAATTATACAAGTGTCTTTTTAGACGCCCTGTATGCCAGTCCTGACAAGTACGTCACCACAAGAAGACTGCAGGGAACCTTTCAGAAACAATAAAACCTGCTCCCACAAAAACAGTGAAACAACCGGTCGATACGAAGAATTTATACTTCAACTCATGGACTACTCTCAGTGGATTCTACCCAGTCTCCTCAAATATCGGCGAAAATGTATAATATGAATTCAAGTAGGAATGACTGTTTGAGCGGGATTGTGGTAACGCAGAAAACACGCCTGGCCCCTTAAAGTACTTCGCTCACAGTCATATCTTCGCTCTCCCCTGATAAGTCCTCCCAATATAGGACGATGACGTTTACAGAAACTTTGCCGTTTAAACAGGCTATAGACCAATAAGCAATTAAGAAGGACTGCTAATTAGTTCTTTTCAGAGTCTGTTCATAGACAATTGCATCTCCTTGAAAGCTACTGTTCAAATATAAGAAAGATTTCGGTCTCTGCTTAAGGTGACTAATCCGACGTTGTCCTAAAGTTTTATATCTCCAAACGTGCTCCATGAAATTCTGTTTAAGTGCATTCTTATGTTACTGTCTAGGGGAACTTGCTCAGTACGATTTTGCTAAGAATCGCTGCACTTTAATTATAAGCGGTGATGACAGCAAGTTCAGTAGTAGTAATAGTAGTAGTAGTAGTAGTAGTAGTAGTAGTAGTAGTAGTAGTAGTAGGGATTGCGTTTTCGATTAGGAAGGATTACTTAGGTGCGATTGTAATACTGATTATCTTGCGGCATAACCCAATAGTATTTCGGACTCGGCCGGATGTCAGCATTTGAATACACTGCTTTTCATTCTCCCGTAAAAACCGTACAGGGTAAAAAATGACTACTTATATAGCATGCATTTTTCCCGTTGATTTTCGATGGTCTTGCAAATTCAAATATATCTCATAGAAACCATAAACAAAATATGCTTTCTTTCAGTCGTTTGATAGAGAATCACGTCTTCTTTATATTTAATACTCGAAGAAGAAGAATAATTAGGTTTTAAAAAGTTTATACTTATGAGATTTTTTAAGACCGCTCAATGTACATTCAAACAGCATCGTAACTGGCCGTTTACCACAACTCCTCGTGAAATGTATAACATAGTCCGCATCCATTGCAAAACTTTATGGACTCTGTATGGTATCTTTTTAAAGAGTTAGACAATATGTAATTTTCCTTACACGGAACGCATGCACCTTGTATACTGAAACCACTAAGCGCTAATGTAACGACTGATCAGGCTCCGAATTATTCGGGAATTAGAAAACTTTTTAAAACGTAATAATACTCCTTCTTCAAGTATGAGATATAAAGAAGACGTGATTCCGTATTAAGTGGCTGAAAGAAAGCATATTTTGTTTATGGCTTCTAGAAGATATATTTGAATTTGCAAGACCGTCGAAAATCAACGTGAAAAATGCATGCTATATAAGTAGTCATTTTTTACCTTGTACGGTTTTTACGGGAGATTGAAAAGCAGTGCATTTAAATGCCGACATCCGGCCGAGTCCGAAATATTATTGGGTTATGCCGCAAGATAACCAGTATTCCAACCGCGTCTACGTAATCCTTCCTAATCGACAACGCATATCAGAATTTCAGCCAACATTTCACGAGATCGGTCACTCACTGTCGTGTAGTAGTAGTAGTAGTAGTAGTAGTAGTAGTAGTAGTAGTAGTAGTAGTAGTAGTAGTAGTAGTAGTAGTAGTAGTAGTAGTAGTAGTAGTAGTAGTAGTCAGTAGTGACAACAACAGCAATGACAACGGACCGGTCCATAAACTCTAATAGACAACAGTGCCACTGCATCGGCCACAGAGTTTACAAATGTCGCATATGACATGCCCGGACATGACTCACACAGTGCCCAGTAAGTGTAGGAAATTCCCCTCAGACCTCGCCTGCTGGCAAGAAATGGTCAGTAAGCGTGGCGGTGCGAAATCAAGAGGACACGCGTACGCCAAACAAGTTGAGAGAGAAAAAAAACAGACTGTTGCAATGCCAAGACAAAACAACTACAAGAAGCATCAGCCCTCCAGCCCAGTAGCCTGCCGGTGGCGCAGTACACCAAGTGCATCCGAAAAACATCGATAATTCACACACACTGTGTGTGTGTCGGCGTGTGCCTGCGCTAGTCTGCGTTACTGTGCCATGGCCCAAGCGCCGAAGATGTGTGTTTTTTCTCCTTTCTTCGGCGAGAAAACAACCAGCGAACTGCCTCAGTCTGCAAAGGTTGTCTGTCAGGCGGATGGCTCATGCCCGACGCCGGGCGGCATACTGTGACGTTTCATACATTCGCAGCCCCCACAAACGTTCTGAGCCAGACGCTCCACTGCATAAAGGCAGTTTGCCTGGACTGGAACGGATGGGAGCTTCAGGGCAGTGGATTTCGTCCTACTGACTGGTTAGTCAGTCCTTGAAGGGCTTGCAGAGGGTATGAACGAGGACGAAGGGGCTTTGAGGCAGCAAGTGGCTTTTAACTGACTGTCCGTGTGACTTCCGGTTGCATTGAGTCCTTT